GTGCTGGACGAGGAGCCCGAGGGGAACGAGGACGGGATCAGGGGCTCCTCGGGATGGGGGGTTTTGTTTTGTTTGGCGGGTGGTAGTGAGGTGGTGGGGTCAAGAGCCCAGATGGGATAAGTGGAGGACTCGTGCCAGGTGGAGGTCTTGTCGATGCGTTTTGTTTTGTTTTTGTTTTTTTTGGCGGATGGGTGGGGGGGGAAGGGGGAAGGATGGTATGTAGGGGTTAGTGGGGGTTGCGTGGATGAAAGGGTAGGACGGTGGTGGGAAGGGGTGGCGTTGGAGTGGGACGGGCATCCGAAGCATGAAACGCACGGATTGCAGGCTAGGTGGACCTGTGCGGAAGGGCTGGGTAAGGGGAAAGATGGTTTGATTGCTTATGGTCATGTGCTCCCTGATCGGTCCCAGCCGTGCAGCCCGCAGGCCGAAAAAAACTCTAGAAAAAAATCAAAAAAAAAAATACACTAAGTAAATAAAGAAGCTTCACAGCTGGGGGTTACCTCAACACGCTGACGGTACGACAAATTCTTTGCTACAAAAAAGAGTATTGAGTGAGGGTTAATTAATGAGCGCTCCAAAACTTTTGCTCTAATTAAATATGGCATAAGAAAGGGGTTGTAAGCGTTTTGGGGGGCAAGTTGGTGGACAGGGCTGGGGGAAAGATGGTTGGGAAAGACTGGGGGAACAGGGGGGTTTGGGAGGGGTTCAAGTGGAAAGAGGGGTTGTGGGAAGGGGCTTTGGGGGGTTGTGGAAGAGGGGGTTACGTTGGGGCAAAGGGATAGGATTTCATTCTTTGTTTTTTGTTTTTTTTTATGATTATTATTTTGTTGTTCGTTGCTTGTTATTATTGCAGACACGTACATGGGCAGTAAGGTTTATAATCTCAACTCGATACTGTGTCTGTCTTATACTTGTGTGGTGGGTGGCTCATCTGCATGTCATAAATCATGTTAACCTCACAGCTGCCTCATCTACTTGTGCGAGCTAATGATGTTAATTGTGAATCAAACGCTAATTCACCAGGGGGGGAGGGGGGCGAAAGGGCGTAGACTTGATTCTTTATTCTTTTTTATTTTTTTATTTTGTTGATTGTGTTGTCTCAGACCACGTAATTGAGTAGATTATTAAGAACCTCCTTCATTACAAATTCAGACGACTGGTAACAACAAGTAAATTCTAAGCCAAGCAACCAAAAAAGCAACAGAAGAACAGCCCTGACACCAAACAACAACACAAAAAACAACAATATACAACAACAACAGAGAACAAAACAACAACCAACGGGATCAATAACAACAAAAAACAACGACATACTAACCAACAACAACAATCGACAATAACAATCAACAACGACGGACGATGCATAACACCTAATAACCAACAACAAAAACAACAACAACAACAAAAACAACAAATTGACACCACATTAAAACAACGACAACAGAACAAACAAACAACCACACACCAACACCAAACAACCCTGACACAATGCAACAACGATCTAACGAACAAAAAACAGGGGCGACAAACAACCTTGACCTCCACAACAAAAGGCAATGACATCTTTAACAAACAACAAAAAACAACTACGGCGAAAACAAAACAACCTTGCCCCGAAAAAAAAAGGAAAACCGAGCTTTAAAATCAAAACAAAAAAAATAAGGACGAATATCGACTTAAACATCGTACAAAAAAAAACTTTAAATGTCGAACAAAAAAAGACAAACATAAAAAATATAATATCGAACGGATAAATAATTAAAATATTCGAAACAAATATCAACAAACATTTATTCATTTTGCATGTTTTGTCGGGCAAAAGATTCCTCTCCTCCTCTCTCCACTCTCGCGTCTCTTTCTCTCTCCCTCTCTCATCTCCCGGTCTCTCTCCTCTCCTCTTCCCTCTGTCCAATCTCCGTCTTTTTCTCTCTCCCCCTCCCCTCCCCACCTCTCCGTCTCCTTTCCTCTCTCCCTCTCTCCGTCTCCTTTCCCCCCCTTGCCCCCCTCTTCTCGCCCTCTCTCCATACTCCCGTCCTCTTCTCTCCTCCTCCCCTCTCCCATCTCCGTCTCCTCCTCCTCCTCCCTCTCCTATCTCTGTCCCTCTTTCTCTCTCCCTCTCTCCATTCCTCTCCTCTCTCTCTCACTCTTGTCTCCCCCTCTCCCTCCCTCCCTCTCTCCATCTTCCGCCTCTCCTTTCTCTCTCCCTCTCCTCCATCTCCCCTGCTCTCTCCTCCTCTTCTCCCTCGCTTCTCCATTCTCCCGTTCTCTTCTCCCTCTCCCCCTCCTCCTCCAATCTCCGTCTCTTTCTCTCCTCCCTCTCTCCACTTCGTCCGTCTCTTGTCTCTCTCCCCTCTCTCCATCTCCCGTCTCTGTTCTCTTCTCCCCTCTCTCCATTCCGTCTCCTTTCTCTCTCCCTCTCATGCCATCTCGTTCTTTCCCTCTCTCTCCACTCTGAAGGGTCCTGGTTGCCTCTTTCTCTTCCCCCTCCTCCTCCATCTCTCCGGTCTCTTCCTCTCTCCATCTCGTGTCTCATCTTCTCTCTCCCTCTCTCCATCTCCGTCTCTTTCTCAGCTTCTCCTCTCCATCCCATTTCTCCGTCTCGTCTCTCTCTCCCTCTCTTCCATCTCCGTCTCTTCTCTTCTCCCTCTCCTCCTATCTCCTGTCTCTTTCTCTCTCCCTCTCATCCATCCTCCGTCTCTCTTTCTCTGCTCCCTCTCGTCCATCTCCGTCTCTTTCTTCGTCTCCCTTGCTGCTCCATCTCAGTTCCTCTCTCTCGTCTCCCTCTCTCCATCACCGTCTCTCTCTACTCTCGCCCTCTCACCACTCCATCTCCCGTCTCTTTCTCTCCCTTCTCTCCATCTCCGTCTCTTCTCTCTTCTCTCTCTCTCATTCTCCGGTCTTACTTCTCTCTCATCCCTCTCTCCCACTCTCCGCGTCTCTTTCTCTCTCGCCTGCTCTCCATCTTTTTTTCCCCCCCCCCCCCCTGTCTCTTTTCTCTCTCCCTCTCTTCCATCTCCGTCTCTTTCTCTCTCCCTCTCTCCATCTCCGCTCTTTCCTCTCTCCATTTCTCTGTCTTCTTTCTCCTCGCCTCTCATCCATCTCCTCTCTTCCTCTCCATTATCTGTCTCTTTCTCTCTCCCTCTCTCCAATCTCAGCGTCTCGTTTCTCCTCTCTCCCTCTCTCCATCATCCGTCTCCTCTCTCTCTCCCCTCTCTCCATCTCCGTCTTCTTTCCTCTCTCCCTCTCTCCACTCTCCGTCTCTTTCTCTCTTCACTCTCTCCATCTCCGTCTCTTTCTCGTCTCCTCTCTCCATCTCCGTCTCCTTCTCCTCTCGCCTCTCTCCCTATCTCGTCTCTTTCTCTCTTCCCTCTCCTCTTCATCCTCCGTTTCTCTTCTCTCTCCCTCTCTCCATTCCGTCTCCTCTCTCTCTCCTCTTCACATCTTCGTCTCTTTCTCTCTCCCTACCATCTCTCCAGTCTTTCCGGTTTTATTCCCCTCTTCCTTCTCTTTCTCTCTCCCTCTCTCCATTCTCCGTCCTCTTTCTCCTCTCCCTCTCTCCCATTTCGTCTCTTTCTCTCTCCCTCTCTCTATCTCGTCTCTTGTTCTTCTCCCTCTCTCCATCTTCGTCTGTTTTCTCTCTCCTCCTCTTCCATCTAAAACCGTCTCTTCCTCTCGTCCCTTCTCTCCGATCTCCGTCGATCTCCTCTCTCTCCCTTCTCTCTATTTCTCCGGTCTCTTTTCTCTCTGCCCTCTCCTCTCGATCTCCGCCGTCTCTTATGTCCTCTCCCTCGTCTCCGCATCTCCGTCTCTTTTCTCCTCTCCCTCTGCTCCATCTCCGTCTCTTTTCTGCTCTCCCTCTCTCCCACTCTCTCTCTTTCTCTCTCACCTCTCTCCATCCTTCCGTCTCTTTCTCTCCTCCCTACCCTGCCTCCGTTCTCTTTTCTCTCCTCTCTCCAGGCTTTGTCTTCTCTCTCTCTTCCCTCTCTCCATCTCCGGTCTCTTCTCTCTGCCCTCTCTCCGATCTCCTCTCTTTCTCTTCCTCTCTCCAACCTCGCGTCCTTCTTTCTCGTCTCCCTGCCTTACTCTCTCTTTCTCTTCCTCTCTATCCAATCCCTTCGTCTTCTCTCTCTCTCCCTGCTCTCCATCTCCGATCTCTTCTCTCTCCTCTCTCCATCTCCCGTCTCTTCTCTCTCCTCTTCTCCATCTCCGTCTGCTTTCTCTCTCCCTCTTTCCTCTCCATCCTCCGTCTGTTCTTTCTGCTCTCCCTCTACTCGTCCATCTCACGTCTTCTATCTCTCTCTCTCTCTTCTCTCCGATTGCGGTCCGTCTCTCTCTCTTCTCCTCTTCTCCATCTCCGTCTCTTTCTCTCTCCCTCTCTCCATCTCCGTCTCTCTCTCTCTCCCTCTCTCCATCTCCGTCTCTTTCTCTCTCCCTCTCTCCATCTCCGTCTCTTCTCTTCTCCCTCTTCCATCTCCCGTTCTCTTCTCATTTCCCTCTCTCCCTCCTCCGTCTCTTTCTCTCTACCCATCTCTCATCTCCGTCTTCTTTCTCTCTCCCTCGCTCTCCATTCTCCGTCTCTCTCTCTCTCCCTCTTCTCCATGCTCCGTCGTTCTTCTCTCTCCCTCTCTCCAGTTCTTCCGTCTCTTCCTGCTCTCCCCTCGTGCTCCATCTCCGTCTCGTCTCTCTCTCCCTTCTCGTCCATCTCCGTCTTACTTTCTCTCTCCCTCTCTCCATCTCCGTCTCTCTCTTCTCCTCCCTCTCTCCATCACCGTCTCTCTCTCTCCCTCTCTCCATCTCCGTCTCTCTCTCTCTCCCTCTCTCCATCTCCGTCTCTTTCTCTCTCCCTCTCTCCATCTCCGTCTCTTTCTCTCTCCCTCTCTCCATCTCGTACCTCTTTCTTCTCTCCCTTCTCCCATCTCGGTCTCTTTCTCTCTTCCCTTGTTCTCTCCAATCTTTGACTCATCTCTTTCTTCTCTCCCTCTCCTCACCTCCTTTATCTC